CCCCCCCAAAAAAAAGTGACAAAAATTCAAAATTTACAGAATAAAAAAAAAGTCAACGACGCGGTTTTCGGACGTGCCAATTTTCACGCGTGGAACGAAATAAGAAAAACACGCAAAAGCTTTCGCAATTTAAAATCGCGCTTTATGATCCATAAAAGAGTACGCTTATCGGAGGTCTATATTTTCGTGCCTCATCCTAACCGTAAAAAGGCGCACAGCTTGTAGCTGGAAGCCGTAAATTATTTCACTCTGTGGGGTCGAACCCCGATTGACCATTCGCCATTCGCCATTCGCTCTTTCGCTAACGGTCGCGCTACGACGGCTTTACACGAAATGCGGATTCGCCCGAACTATTAATTCATGATGCCTCATGGCAATACGCTTCTCCACCGACCTGTCCGGCCGCGCGACAGTCCTTGTCATCGATCGCTAGTCCCTTTAATAATCGAATTAAACGAACCACCCGAGAATGCCAATTTCGAATGAAAGTTACGTCATAGGACGATTGACATTAGTAATGCACTTTGATGCACTTTTCAGTATTCGTGACTTTACCAATAAAATAAAGGTGATACGCGCAAAATAAATGTCTTGTCCCAATGACCAGTGCAAACAGTGGCAATGAGAAATTCAAGTTAGCAGGTATAAAGATTGTCTAGAAATGTAGGATCGCAAATTTTACTAGATTAATTTGGAAAGTTGTACCAAAATTTTTTTTATTTTCCAAAATAATAACCACTGCTCGTATAGATACCATTAGGCAAATAATGTCGTACAATATTCGCAGCTTTGACTTGTATAACGAGCTGACTTTTTGGAATTTGTAATTCCGCCGTAATAAACTTTGAAACTTACTGGAGAGGAAAAGATCCTGGAGGGCCTGGGCAGCCTGACAAAGAAGAGCCCAAGTTTCCGCAGCTGCGAGTCCTGCGCCCCTCAGCGCCAAAACATCCCCAGCAACAACGCCGAGCCCGGCCCCGCCAATGGCCTCTGACGGCATTCTGAAAAATATCAAGAATACACTAACTTTTGTAGTCCTACATTAGCACCACACACGTGACCAAATATTATAATGTCAAATTCATAAAAAACTCAATAAATATACCCGGCACCTCGATACCGTTCCTAAGGTACGTATCTTCGGCACGAAGAAAGAGTAGTACATCGATTAAAAACCCCCCCCCGCATCATTCTCGACCAGTGGATTCCCATCCACAAAAGGAATATCGTATTTCACCCGGAAAGCGTTTGCTTTCAATCAAAAGACTCCGCAAGTCCCGAGGGTAAATTTGCTACAGTTCGATTCCGCGTTCCTAAATCTCATCGTAACGCCAACCACCTCGAGGAACAATCAGCGACTGACGACCCTGACGGAAACAATGGAAACCAACCCCTATGCACGGTTCCCTGTCCCCGTCAGCCACGACGCAAAAGCCAAACGTCACAGCGTGAGATTCGAGCCGCGTCCCTTCACCGGCAGCGTGATACTTTTTCATCTCCTCCACTAGTATCTTTTTTTTTGCTTAGCCTGTACTCGAGCCTCCCCCTCGTCAACCCTTTCCCCGGTGCGATCAGAGCGATAATTATTATACCAAACGACGATAAAGTGCACAGTCCATAAACAAACGCTTAATCCCACGATAGGGTTACATAAAAGATTTTCATCATACAGCATCCATATATCTCCAAGATAAATGGACCGGCATTTTAACGGAGTCTTTCTAGCGCTAAAAAAGTCCTAGTTTTTTTTTCACCCCCATTGTTTTCGACTGTTAAGGAATTTAACGAGCGACCTCCTCGGCCCGCGTGACAGGGCGGAAAAGTAAAATTTTATTTTTCCCTTTGGTCAAAATTCATTCCGAGATTTCTCTCTCTCTCTTAATCTCCATATATTTAAGCTCCAAATATATATGTCTTTTTGTATAACAATAAAGTATCGTCACACAGTCGGTATATTCCATTCACAGAATTCGTCCTGTAATTGCGAGCAATCCGCTCGACACATCCGACACATCCGATGTTGCATACCTTCCGCATCCGTGAATCCTTTTCCATTTGTGAATGAAATTGAATCGCGCCGCGACGGCTCGCACGTCCCTCATCCATTCGGCCATAGTCGAGATCGCTATAGCTATACGGCTGCCAGTACTTCATTGGATTTTGATCGGTCGCTCAGTGCCATATCCCTAATGGAGTTATCGGCCACTCGATGCTAACTGATTCCGTCGGCTTCTATTTTCAACGGGTAGACCCCACACAATTCGTCCCTTCCGTACACGCGTCACGATCCAGACATCGTCTACGGTGCACATACTCGAAGCAACGGAGAGAAAGAAAGTCCCTGAACGATGTGATTCCTTTAGAAAAAGTTACCATTCTTTTGGCTCATACAAATTAGCCACGATTCTCAACCGATTCTCTGCCGGAAACAGCTGAATATTTACCGAGTAAATGTGGTATCCCTGTACCGTTATACCGGGTGGTTCAATCATTCGGATGTCTACTTCTCCGCTTTAAGGATTTCGAATGGTATAATTGAACCGCGCAAAGAACAGTTTGGGCGGTTAAACTTAATATACACTTTAGCGGTGAGTTTGGATTTGCATCTGGGTCTCGGTACTACTCCGAATAATTTTGAGCGAAGAACTCCACGTGATATTTGCATAGTAACCTGTCAAAACTGATTTCTTCTTCGCGGGAGCAACGGGTATTAAAGTTTTGTAAAGGAACTCGCAAACTTTTTCGCAACAAATATATCGTGACGAGGGAGTGGGTGGGTGGGGTGGAAT